TGTGGCAAGAGAAATGCTGAATCTAAATGAAATACATATTAACTAGGTAAGGAATGAGGTGCAGTTGGCAGAAGCACTAATAAAGACAGGAGCCACTTTAAGAAAGTTGCTGGAACTGAATTGAAAATGTCAATTTGCTTTTTTAATTGGATGTATATTGATGTGTTGTTTTATTCTGGAAAAAAAAAAGAAGTTTAATTTATATTTGTAAAAAGAAGCCAATGTTAATGACTTAATTATCTCTCCTTTGATTCTAATACCTATATAAGGGTGTAAAGTGGTTGGATAGCTTTACTTGTTTTTATTCTGAAAATCATGGAGGACTAAACAGATAATTGAATGAGCTAAAGTGAGGATTAACAAGGAGTTCCAGAAATGTGTCCATCAATGGAAAAAAAAAATGCTGTTTAAAGTGTGTGGCTTCAGAAGAGGACTACATTGAAGCAGATTAAATGCCAAATTGATATTTTATTTTTATAGCACCAGACCTGATACTTTTTGATCAGCGCTTGTATTAATTGGCATTAAAATTTCACTTTTCTATGTGTATAAATTCCAGTGAATTATATTCCAATCATTCTTCAGACAACTGGACACCTTTCTTTGTGTTGTTGATGTTGTTAGCAAACTATTTTAGCTGATCCATTCTTCAGCCTATGGGTATATAATCTGTAAAGCTTGTAAGCTTGGATGTGTTGGTGGTGATGGATTTTTTTCTGACTAGTGCCTTACAGCCATGTCACGTTTAAACACTGTACAATCACTGAAGTTAAGCAACATTGAGTCTAAATGGTTGACTGTTTTGTGAAATCAGGTGCTGTACGCTTGGATGTGCTGGTGATGTAATGGATAATGGCTTGGAATTGGAACTAGAAAAGCAAAGTTCCAATTCCAGTTGGGTTCATTATATTCATTTTTGGGAAAGGTATGAATCCACTTCTCCTCCCTCCAGCTATGGATTAATTAGTTGGACTATAATCAGTAAATCATTATTATCTCCAAAAAATTCTTACAACTAAAAATATTTTCTGGTTTTAAATAACATGCAAAATATTGATAAGTCTCTTACAACTTATCAAACAAACCAATGAATCAATCAATTAGTCTTCTGATTAGTGTCTAATTCATTCAGACTAATATCCCCTTATTGGTTGTTAGCATCATTACATTTTAAACATTGAACACTTTGTTCTATTTCCACTACCAGATTGTCCTATGTGACAACTGGCCTAGTAGGCAAAAGCATTGGTTAAGTTTATATAGTTATCTGACAGTCCTTGGGTAGAGTTGTGCCAAAAAGTCATCCACTCTGGTTCAAGGGAAAAGACAAAGATAAATTTACTATAAAAAATTAATATAAGTTATGTCCTTTTGGCATGGATAGAGGATTGAGAATAATCTACATTTGTTGATTGAATAAAGGGTTCGGTTTTGAATTGTTGGAAAGCTACCAACTGCAACACTCACCTGAAGAAGCCTGGAGAGTATAATGCTATGACAACCAAAAATTACTTGTTCATTCAGATAAAAAAATAGTGATTTGTATGATTTTTGTAAGTTGAACACCTTTTTTGAAGAATTTATTTCCATAATGCCTACTCACTCATTATTATTTAGCAAAAATTCAAATTCCTTAATAGAAACAAAATTGATTTTCTTGTTTTAAAAATTCTATTGTTGATCCATACCGTTTCAATTTCATTTTCTGTTTGATGTTACAAGTGATGTCGATCAAACTTCTTTGTCATATGAAGAGTTTAATATGTGAATTCCCACACTTGCACCTCAATTAAAATGCATAGAATTTTAACCAACTCATTATTGTTACTACCACTTTAACAGCATCAGTGCTCCTATCACTACAAGTACTACTGTTGAAAATGCATATCAGAAAAGTGTCACAGTTCATTATTATATTTCATCTTTTTGTTTTGATTTTTTTCATTGTTTTCTTCTTAATTTTCCTTTTTTCTTTAATCTCTTCCGTCCTTCTGTAAAACCTTCCTTCCCTTGAAAAGAACTCTAGCATTGCTAACAATTAATGAATTGGGCAACATTTGGGAGTCCAGTATGATTAAATATTTGAATTGATGTCATTAGCCCAATTTAACCCAGCTTATTTTAAAATTAGCCCCCAAAGTCATAAGAAATAAAATTTAGTAGAGCTGAGCTGTCAAACGTAGCCCAATCTGGCATGCCTATCTTTATTTACCTCTGATGTATCACCTTGTCTATTTCTAGACAGACTATATATCAGAATATAAAACTCCTTCTTTGACCACACATTACAGTACAGTAATCAATCTACTGTTCCTACAAACCATTGAGAGTGACTTAATATGAGATTTCCATCTATCATCATTTTATTGTAGCCATGACCTCAATTATATGTTTGTAGGGTTAATTCAAACTTTACATTATTTAGTTTAAATCAGGTATCTTGTCTCTGACATACACTGATTTGAACTCCTTGATGGCATTATACAATATATCTACTATATAATATAGGCTTATGGCCATATCATGTTGAAATATTGTTTCCTGTATGATTACCAATGTTAGGTAATATCAAGCCTGGTCAGTACTTAGATGGATAACCGCTTGGGAATAGCAGGTATTGTAAGCTTGGTTGTGTGGGTGGTGTAATGGATAATAACTTGGAATTGTTAATTGGAGAACTGAGTTCTGATTCCTGTTGGATTCATTATATTCACTTATGTGCAAATATCCTTGGGAAATGTATGAATCCACCTCTTCTCCTCCCAGCTATGGGTTAATTAGTAAGACTTGTATCATTGTTATCTGAAAAAAATTCTTACAATCTAAAAACATTTTTGTGTCTTTAAATAACGTGCAGTCAATCAGTATATAATATAATATGTAATATAATTGTACACTTTGAGTATAACTATTATAAAATTTGTTGGGTTTCAGGTGTATGAAGTGCTGGCCAAATGTTTGGGAACTTAAGACATGAAAGAAAGAAAAAAATGATAGGAAATAAGGTTATTTTATTTTCTGGCGAGTAATTTTGAGAAATATTTAAAATGTCTGGTGAGACCTGAGAAACACAGGATAACAGATGAACAACTTGACCAATCTGTTCAAATTCCCTGAGGTTTTGGTTAGCACCACCTACTTCTTTGCTATATACTTAATATTTGAGTTTATCATCAAACCATAAATTTTCCAAAATCTATCAAAGAATTTCTTGAGAATAAAGTATTCATTATATTGCACTAAATATTGGTTAGTAGCATTCAGGTCATGCAGTGCTGGATTAAGGTATGGACTTTAGGATTATCCCAGGGACCTCCAGAGATTAAAATATGGTATTTAGGGGCTGGGAATTAAGGTATGAGCTTTAGTCTCCAGGTACACAGTCATGAGCTTTAGAGTCTGTAGGACAGGGGCTCCCAGGGATTAAATTATGAGCTTTATGGTCTGTATCTCAGGGTCCCCCAAAGATTGTGTGTGTGTTTGTGTATATATATATATATATATAAAATGTCTGGCTACTTCTTTTTGAGAACACTTGTCTGCCAGGGAGGCTAACATATCCCTATTACAGATGTCCACAATCAACACTGTTCATCTGTGGCTTATACTGTAGCTATGCTGAGATGATCTTAGATTCAGTGTCTGGGAGCTAATGCATAATCTGGCATGGTCATTTTTTTTTTAACATGGCCAGCATGTGCAATGTCTAGGTTAATTTTACTTGTAACTTTGTGCTAACCCAGTCATTGACAGCTTCTGAAAAGTTCTGTCTCCCAATTTCACTCATAAGGCTTGGGCTAACCTGTGGTATAGTTTTAAGGCACTTTCCAAAGGGGTATTTGCTGTTATCACCTCCCCAGTCAAATATTACCAAGAAGCGAGATTTGAACCTGGGTCTCATGGTCAAATGGTAAACATTTTAACTTTTCAGCCAAATATATTATGGGCTTTCCCGTTAATTTTGATGTATGCGAATCTGACAACCTCACTTAATTTTTATGTTTGTGTCATATGTGACACTTCAGTCCCACTACAAGTCCATATATTGTGTAACAGTGAGAATCTGGGGATATAGCAACAGGAACATGATGCTGATGCTTTGTGCCATTATCTTTTCTCTCTTAACTGTTTAATATAACTGGTTTCAAAATTTCTGATACCACTGTTACAGATATCTCCAGTTATTTCTATTTAAGTCACCTCGTTTGAAATTAGTATGAGGCACATTGACAGCTGAGAGGTTACACTTACCTTGTCTTAATACCTGAGCCACAGCTATCCAACACTCCTTTGTCCACTGTCAAGCTGGCTATACACGAGGATCTTAGGTATTTTGTTGTCGCTCATCTTTGCAACTTGACCAGCCCAGTGAAGTTGTGACTGCATCAGGAATGTCTCAATTCTACCAATGTTGCATTTTGTGAGATCAGCATTAGACACCTTATTGTGAAAAGTATAGCTGTGTGTGTGTATATATATATATATATATATATATATATATATATACCAGAGAAATTTTTCTCTAAATAAGTTTAATTTTTTTTTTTTTTTAAATAATCCTGAGGTCATTACAGAATCTTAATCTAGCACTGATGTCATCATTTAATGTTTATGATAGGTATCTGATGTTGTTGGTAATTCTCATGTCAAAATCTATGATTATAGCAAATATATAATTATCCTAATAACTGTAGCTTCAACATTATTCTATGCTTTCTACTGAAGACATAAATTGGTCTTTTATACAATAATATGTAAAAGACCTGCGCTGGTGTTGAATGATATGCTTACACCTCTTGAAGCTTGGCTAAAGATTAACTTATAAACCTGTGTTTACTGTCAAACAATTTTTATTAGTCAAATTTGTTTCTTACAATTTTGCTAATATTCATTGTTAAATATAAGAAAGGAATTTTAATTAGTAATTTCCATTAAGAGTTATAATTAAACTATTTTAGCCAAACTTTAGTTTTGTTCATTTTTATTTTTTTTTTTGCAAGTCTACTAAAAGGAAAGGCGGTGAACAGGTAAGGAGCCTTCTTGATTAGGTTTTTGTCCTCTCGCTCTCTCACTCTTTCTCTCTCTACGTATATATTTACGTGTTTATATCTATCATTTTATTTTTTTGTTTTTTATTGCTCTTTTCTGAATCTGCTTTTTATAAACAGTGACATGTGGATGTGTGCAGTCCAAGTTTACTTTCTACCTGCAGTGGTTGAAAAAGAAAAAAAGCATTCTTCTTTCAAAATTTAATCTAGTAGAAAACATTTGAAATTAGTTATTTCAAATTTCTCCACTTCTTTTACCATTCAGTAAATTTCTGCTGCTTTTTCATTTCTACTGAATTTCAAAAAATAATCTCTTAAAATAAATAAGAATAAGAGTTTAAAAAATGCTTGTTTGAAGTTTTATTATGAGAAGTGATGCCAAAATTGATGCAACAGAACTTGAATTATTGTCACTCCATTTATTCTCAGGCTGAGTGTAAGTTTTTAGGGTGTAAATTTTGAGAGATCTGAAATCTGATAAAGAAAACTACTGTGGTTAACTGGTCTACTTGTAAAAAAAAATGTACAGAAGAAATTTTTTTTCTTTTTTTTTTAATAATTTTTGTGCATTAGCATTCATTAGACCTTCCTCTACTCCTGACATTTGTTAGAATAAAAGATATTGAGTTTTATAATTTTAAAAGGGGTTCTGATCATAATATACAGTGTGAAATTGATCCTTGATTTCTTAAAGAGTTATCTATACTTTGTTTTTATTTACACATGTCAAATGTGAAACTATGCTTACATTCTAATTTGTAGTAGTCCACAATTAATAATGACATAAACACAGTTTCAAATTTGACATTTATAAATAAAAACAAAGTACAGACAACTCTTTAAGAAGTCAGGTATTGATTTGACACTGTATCTATGTTAAGAACAGGAACCTCTTCTGAAATTATAAAAAATAAATATTTTTTGATTCTGAGAATTTTGAATGAATTCTGATCTACAGATGAAGGTTTAATGAATGCTAATCTACAGATGAAAGTTTAATGAATGTTAATCTACAAAAATTGTTAAAATTTCTTTTCTGTTTTTTATGAGTGAACCACTTAATTTAAGTAGTTCTTGTTTCCCCCACCCCACCTTAGTATTTTTTTAAGTTACTGGCAGTCAATGTTTGATGACAATTATTTTACAGTAATCTTTAAAGTTTTAAAAACTACATTTGAAAAATCATTTATGTAATCACTACATATATATGAAATGGTATTGGAAATTGCCTAGATTCTACATGTTATATTATTATGTGAAGTTTTGTAATATTGGAATGACTCTGCAATATTTACGATGACTGACAAAACTCAATCAATGGGTCTGTATCAAATTTTGCATGAAGTTTCTGAAGCTTGGACCAGACACCAAGTACATTCACAGGGTGCAGCTTCTTCCATTCAAATGTTTGTGGCTTAAAAATAACTCTGGCCAGATTGTTACCCACAAAATAAAGCCATGAGCTGATTGTAGCAGTAAGCAAATTTTATTAGGTTGTAACCTTCTGCTGTAGACAAGTTAAGCAGAGATGAACAGTTTAATGGGAGTGTCTTCCCTTTCACATTGCAGTGATGAAGTCTCTTGCCCCTCTCTGGGTCTCTGCTTTAGGCTGCTAGTGACCCCTGTCTTATAGAGAACAGTATTTTTTGCCTTGTCATCTTTGTCTTAAAAGGTCATTCATCAGAGTCTGGCTTTATTCAGTGACTTAATTTGTCAGGATCGTTTGGCATAGTTCTTATGAGGTCCACTTCACTTAACTGATAATCGTCAAGGCAATAACTGTTGAAACAATTTCTGTAACATCCCTCAGACGTTTTCATTTAACAAGATATCGGCTAACACTGATATTGCTACACTTTGAAAATCTGCTACCGAGGCCGTATACCAAAAGCTTTGTAACCTTTTGGAGAACATTCTTTTGTCTAAAAATTGTTCATGGCCATCAATTGTAAATTGGCAAGCATTTGTGAATTCATCCATAGAAACTGTTGCTGAAAAAGCCATCAGCTTTTTCACATGACTGAAATTTCTTAATGGAGTAAATATGGTGTACTTGGTTTCCTTAACCTTTATCACTCTGCATGTGACTTCATTATCTGTGCAAAAAGTTTATCCTGCCATTGAAGGTGATTCTGATACTCGAATTTGATTTTTTTTTTTAATTTCACAATTGTGTTGCCATATCCTGCTATGGTAACAGAAAATACTTTTGAGTGAAATTAACAATAAGATTACTGCAATTGAGAAGCCTTGAAAAAGAATGCAATGGAAAGGGAAGTAATATTAATAATGCAGAGTGTTAAAGGTTAAGCTTTAGACTGGGAACTTTCCAATACCACATTCTGCTAATTGGAAACCTTTGACTGCGTTTCATATAAAAAAAAGAATAGTGTTTGATGTAGGTTTTATAGTAACTTAAGGCATTTTTACACCCTGAAAAATAATATATTACCCTTGCAATTTGTGGAGCAACAAAGGAGTTGTCATTTCTAGTTTTATCAATTTTGCTTTGTGATGGCTCTTGGTTTGCCTGTTGATTGCTCAAGTAATGGCTAGCATGTCTTGTTAATTATTGCACTTTCTAATAACCTAACCTCTTTTGCTTGTAAACACATGAACTCTATGAAAACTTCCAAGTTACCTTGTCTATTCTAACCTATTAATGATATAATTGAAAATTAGGCAAATTATATAAACATATTCACTGTGAGATATATATATATATATATATATATATATCAAGAATAATAATGGGGGAAATTGTATGACAAAGTGGAAAAAGTTTAGTTGTGATGTGTTTTGTCATTCAGGACTTCATCGGACTAAATTTGTTTTGTTGGTATGCATTTCTAGCCCATTATAAAGAGACTGACCACAATTTTGACATAAAAATGCTTCTCTGATCAAAGGAGAAAACAATTCACTATGACATAAATGTCAGAGAGTGCCTCGATTACAAGGTCATCTATAGTAAATTTGTTCCCTGGCTCTTACAACATTTCACTATTTCTGGCAGATTGATTATCAGAGTGTGGGATACCTACTAAAAAAAGTGACAGAAAGAAAAAGACTCTAAATGAATTTGGCTAGAAAAAAAATTCCTAAAAGTTCTAATATCTTCAGCACCCCTTGTTCATGCACATGTATAGTTGTACCAACATAATAAAATTAATCTGATGAAGTCCTGAAGGATGAAAGGCGTCACATGTAAACTTTTTCCACTTTGTCATACAATTTCCCGATATATATGGTGTTAGTTGACATTGTTAATCAAAATTCTTTTTCGTTTTGCTTATTTATTATTTTGTGTCTAGAAATGTTGCCAAGGAAATAATGAATCTTTGTTTGGCTGGCAAGCACCTGGTATGTCTACAAAGATGACTTTTAAATCCTGAGATATGTTGGCAGATGAAACAGGTAAAATTATCTGCCAAATTATTGTTATGGGTAACAATTGTTGGCTAGGTGCTGGCTGCCTGATGGATTTTCATGGGATGTTTGAGAGCACCTTAATAAGTAATTGTTCTTCAACAGGGTAATGAATTGTTGGTTGATTGTCATATGAGATATATATATATATATATATATATATATAATTCTGATCTAGAGTGATATTTTTAAAAAATAAAAACTTAACCAGAAGACTGATACAACTAATAAAGACCAAAGAACACTTAGGGAAATTCCAGGACAGACCACTTCCTAAAAAATGATAAATAATACTCCCATCACTTAAACCTTGCTGAAATTTGGTATATAGGTAGATTCTGTTACCCAAAAGAGAATTTCTAATGTTTTAGCTCAAACTAATGGTTCAAAAGTTATGGTCACTTCAATCAGGATTAAATCAAGTTTCATTGACTGGCCACCATATTTGATGACCTCATTGCTGGAGGATAAATTTCTACTTTTCAAGTTGACAAAATTTAAAACACTCTATTCATTTTAGCTTTAATAATTTATAAGGAACTTTCTCATGGTTTGTTTTGGATCATACACTGTTTAAAACATTAATAAACACCAATATTTATTTTCTGATCAATCCTTAGGAAAATATGAACATTGATTTTTGGAGGGACTATGATCACATTTTAAAAACTCCATAAAGCAAAAAAATGTTGGAAATAATAAAAAATAAGTTGATTTATGGCCTTATCATGTTAAAACACTGGTTCTTGTATGATCAGAGAAGTTAAGCAATGTTGAACCTGGTCAATAGCTAGATGAGTGATCACTTGTGAATATCAAGTAGTGTAAGCTTGGAGGTCCATGTGGTGTAGTCTTGAATTGGAAATCAGAGATCCAAGTTCAAAGTTAGATTCATGATATTCACTTATGCTCAAATACCCTTGAGAATGGTATGAATCCACTTCTTCTTCCCCCACCTATGGGTTAATTAGTATGGCTTGTATCAGTAAATCATTGTTATCTTCCCCAAATTATTACAATCTAAAATAACTTGCAAAAGTTTATAAGCCATAAAAAAGCAAATCAGTCAATCAATCACAAAAATAAATTGACAGAGTTGTTTGCAGCATATATTACTAAGAACAAAGTTTCAGTCAAATCCTTGAGAAATTTCCATTTTTATTGGTAACTTTATATGGAATTATACTATAATTTAACAAAAAAAAACATATTTGATACTATTAAAATCATTTTTCCACTTTAATGCGGATCAATAGTTAAAGGTTTTAAACCTGATCATAAACATTGTGAATATGGCAACAAAGATGAGGACAACAGTCCAAACAATGTAAATAGTGTAAATAATTACAATATCTCATCTCAGAAATAAAGAAAAATAATAGAGAAAGGATAGAGGAACATTTGCATTACAATTAATTTTTCAACCAAAATATCCTTGTGGTCAAATCTTAACCTCAAACTTTTAATTCTCAATAGAATTTATTTTCGATACTAAAGAAAAGAAACATTTTTCAATAAGTTTTGTTCATTCTTATTTGAAATATATATATATATATATATAATAATCATTTCATCCAAAGCAAGGCAAGAATGCCACTAGTATGCAGGGGGTTACAGGGAGTGAAAGTGAAAGAGAAGACTGAGAATAGGAAGGATTGAGGAAAGGACAGAAGATGAATGGGATTCAAGAATACAGAAGATGGCAAGAGATGTTGCATTTAAATTTTTGAAGATTGTAATTATCAGGAAAGCAGGTGGGAAGTGCAAGAAAAGAAATTGTTGGAGTAGAAGTGGCAGTTGCATTTAACTATTTCAACAGTAAAAGGGTGGAACCTAAATGCCAATCCAGTAGCATGCTTAAATTCATGTAGTCGGGGCACTTGGGAAAAAAGCTTATCAGAACATTTGCCATGAAAATATTTGTAGAAAAGACAGAAGGAAGCCACATCATGTCAGTGAGAAAGTAACTGAAGCCGAGATGCCAGGTTAGGATTGATTATATTATAGATCCTTCTTTGGATTTTGTCAAGAATCTCAAGATATACAACAGGTGCACTAGACCAGATATGGCAACAGTATTCAATGCATGGGCAAATGGTAGATTTGTAAATGTGTAAGATGGATTCAGACAAGAAAAATTTTCTGGCACGACACAGTGACCCAACTTTCCTTGCAGTAGATACAGCTATTGATTTGATGTTGTCACTCCACCTCAAGTCAGTGGAAAACATGATGCCAAAAAGGTGCAGTTGTTTTCTTGGAGTTAAGTGTCAGCCATGCTGATGGCAGGCAGAAAAGTTTCTGTATGTTGGTTAAATGAAAGCAGTTTTGTTTTGAAGGCATTAAAAATTTAAAAATCATTTTTTGCCCCTTTTTCAAGACAGATTTGCTATTGAGACAGTAGTAAATGGTAGTGTCATTTGCATAAATGCCCATTTGGGAATTGATGACATCTCCCAGCTCTGAGATAATTCTTAAGGAACTCATCTATAAACTTAATCTTATGGCCATATCATGTAGAAACACTGATTCTCATTTGATCACCCAAGTTAATCATTGTTGACTCTTGTCAGTACCTAGGTGAGTGCCTGCTTGGATGTGCAGGTGGTGTAATGGATAACGGCTCACAATTGGAAATCAGAAGGCTGTGTTCCAATTCCAGTTAGGTTCATTATATTCACTTGGGAAATTTATGAATCCACCTCGTTTTCCCTAGCTATGGGTTAATTAGTAGAACTTGTATCAGTAAATCATTATTATCTACAAAAGATTCTTACAATCTTAAAATATTTTCTGACTTTAGATAACTTACAAAAGGTTGAAAAGCCATAAAAAAATTACTAGTGAAAAAAAACAACTTAGAATTTGGCAACCAAAAAATTTAAATCATTTTATAATTCTGCTTGTGCTGTTATTAGTAATTAAATTAGCACATATATTATGCTCTTCTATTGCCGCAGATAAATAATAGACCATTCTATTTGGATTGAGTGGAAAAATGAAAGAAAGTGATATATGCGAGGGCTGTTCAATTTTAGGAAAGGGTGGGGGAAGAAAGTGTGGTGATAATGCACTCATGCTTTAATATCTGCTTCAGGTGAATTGGAAGACTGTTTGAATTTTGAATCTTTTCATTTGTACCCTCTTACTACTTTAAATAATGACCTGCATTAATGTTTATGATTGTAATTGCAATATTTTGTTAAAGTTGTTAAGCTCAAATATTTACTGATGCATTACGAGAATTTCCAAGGGTATTTTATAGTCATGGAACTTGCAAGAAACTTATATGATCATTAATTTAGGAATTATGAATCATCAGAAAATTCATATAGTCAAACTGTGAAATTTTCAAGAGTACTGCTAGTATTAAGAGGGAATTAATTTATATTTATTTTTGCTGATGCTCGGAAGATTTTGTCATTCAGTCATGGAAAATTTGTTTTAAAAAAAGTCTGGAAATACTGTCTTTAAAAATGGAAATTAATATTAATTAAAGAGCATCACAGAAATACTAATGAAAAACAAAAACTGAAATAAAAATGCCGGAATAAATGAAAGAACATTTTATTTAATTTAGAAACAAGAAAAATTAATCGCAGAAAATTTTCGTCTTAAAAATTAAATTATAAATTGATGATTTTAAGTTCTAGACAATGATTTTCAAGAATGTTGTCCAATCATTTCTGCTTTATATCTACTGAGTATTTTTAATGCATAAATCAACTTGTTTATATATTTGAAGTAGCTTTATATTTTTTTAAAAATAGAGACATACTTGACAAATTATGAGACTACAATTTTTATCAATTTTTTATATATAAGTTATGGCTGGCTGCTTGTATCTGAGTATACCCATCTGCTAGGACAGCCAAGCAATCCCTATTGCAGACACTTGCACAAGCATATTTGTGTTTGTTACACACCTACAGAGCCCATCTGTTGTTCATACTGCAACTATGCTGAGTGGAGCTTAGTTACAGTTTCTGGGAGATAGTACACCATCTGGCATGGTCAATTGTCTGAACAAGGCCAAATGACTTAGAACAACCATCCGTGACTCCCAAACAGTTCCATTTATCCAATTTCACTCGCAAGGCTTAGGTTAACCTGTGACATGGTTTTCAGGCATATATATATATATATATATATAAAACATAAAAACGTGCACTCTAAACTATAAAAATGAATGCCCTATTATAAAGAAGCTATTATACAAAATTTATTACATCATGCAAAAGTTAATTCCTCCACAAAAATATTTTCTACACTGAATTAAAAATATTAAAAAATTCTCGTTAATAATGACTTTTCTAATTACATCGTTGATGAACATCTTAGATGAGCTATTAGAAATAGTAACATAAATCAAAAAGAGCATAATACTTCCTCAAATAATCCTAAACATATCAACCTACTATATTGTAATCAAATGCATTCTAACAATAAACAAAATGAAAAAGTCCTAAAAATCTCATAAGTACTAATATATTCCCCACTGATCCCAGTAAAAAAAAATAAAACTAATATATTATACTAAATTTAACAGAATCAACTTAATCATACACAATAACTGTTTTGTCAAGTAATTTTTTAGAAAAGACCAACATTGTATATCAGTTTAAATGTCCTTTGGGAGATTTGTATCTTTGACAAAAAAGTAAGTACATATATTGGTTTGATGACCATTATTAAGATGTCTTACACTTCATTTGTCGGATACAAATTCTAGTGCACAACATCTAAAAACACATTCCTGTCCACCTTCACAATACAGGAAAATACTTGTTGACAACACCCATATACTACAACACAAAAATAATAAACAAAAACTTCAAATCCTGGAGGGCCTCTATATCAAAATCAACCAACCAACATTTAGCAGAATTTATTACAAGTATAGCATCAATGTGTTGAGGAGCATATGACAAACATTTAATGCCATTTTGTATGCTACAAATTTCTGATCAGCTCCTTTATATTGAAACACTTGTTTTGCAAAAAATGCCATAACTACAACAGATAAAGTAAAAATTTATAATGCGAGGTGATGCTGAAAAGTTCTTGGCCTAAGCATTTTTGGAAAATCAAGATCTAACTTAACAAACAATTTTTTAAAAACTGCTTTTTAGTTAAGCTAGAAACTTTTCAGCAGCCTTTGTAGTAACTGAGCTGACAACAAATGATGGCAATATTTAAGTACTTTTTTAATTGCATTGTACTTATAAAACAACAGGAAATTGTTGTTCTGTATTTTCGTGTTTATATTCAGCACTTCCTGATTATTAATCAGTCATGGCAAAGTCAAGGTTGGGATCATTGGCTCATTGTAAATTCCAAGATCCTTTTATTAATGGGCTAACTATTCTTTTAATTCAGAGTTGAACGAAGAAATTGAAAAGCTGAGTTTATATTCCAGTTGATGAATTATATACACTTTTGCAGAAATACCTTGGGAAAGGTATGAACTCACTAGCTACAGGTTAAATAGTAAAGCAGACTGGGCTCTTCAGCTTTGGGTGGAAATCAGTTAGAAGGACAACCCTGAATTAAAACTGTATGTAGCCATGGCCAATCAAATCCTATGCAGATCAAGAAAGGGTCGTGGAGTTTACAATGACTATTATATTATTCCCACTGGGGTGAATATCCTATTATAATTGTGCTAGACCCTGCCTTCATTAGTTTGCATGCCATCTGTGGAATCAGGTCCCTGTGTGGACCAAGCTCACTTTTTGCTGAATCACCTCCATGTTCAGTAAATCAGTGGCAACACTACTAAATTCAGGGATCAATCTAGCATCAAATACCTCCTCTACTATCTTATAGAAAAATCAAGACCTGCCAAAATAGCTTGTAAGTAAAGTTTGTAAAATTGTAGTCTTTTCCTTCTGGCTGGTAATCATGGCCACATCACATTGAAATACTGGTTCTTGTACAATCACTGAAGTTAAGCAACATTGAGCCTGGTCAGTACCTAGATGAGTGGCAATTTAGGAATACCAGGTGCTGTAAGCTTGGATGTATGGTTGGTTAAATGTGTAATAGCTTGGATTAGGAAATTGGAGAACTGAGTCCTAATTCCAGTTGGGTTCATTATATTCACTTATGTGCAAATACCCTTGGTAAAGGCATGAATCCACTTTTTCTTCCTTCAGCTATATGCTAATTAGTAGGACTTAGTAGTAATTAATTAGTATTATCTACAAAATATTCTTACAATCTAAAAATATTTCCTGGCTGTAAATGTTGATAAGCCATAAAAAGCAAATCAACCACTGTTTATCACATTGTTAGAGCCTTATGCCAGACTATGCTACAGTTTTCAGGGTTTGAACCCAAGTAAAATCTAGACCCTCAAATGTTGACTTTTTTTTATACTTATGTTCAGTCAATACAAGGCCCAAGAGCCACTTAAGGTAGAGGTTTACTGAATGAGGTTTGTGATATAAATGTAGGATGAGGAATTGAAGATTATGAGGATATAGAGGATAGATGATGATTGACTAAGATTTTGAAGTTCGGGGAAGTATCCATGCAGGAGTCAGTACCACAAAGTAGCGCTTCTTAGAAGCTGAGTGGAACATCCTTAGCAATAAAATAAAAAGGGAATGAAGCTGATTCAATCTTGTGGATGTAGCAAGGCTTGTCTTGGTCATAAAGGTCTGAACTGGATGCACTAAAAATAGAGTTTGTTTAAATATTTGCCATGGAGATAGCAATAGGCTTGCGATATTGCATCTATAGGAAAGGTTTGTGTGGTGGAAAAAAATAAGTCATCCCATACAAAGCCATGCAAATGATTTTGAACTTTGTCAAGGCTTATATGGTAAGCAGACTTTTCTTTTCTGGAAGTTTATTGCAGTAAGGTCTTCTGCAATATAAACATCTCTCATTGCAGTTTGGCCTTTTGTCATACTATAATTACCATTGCATCTAATTGTTAGAAAATAGAAATTTTTTTGAGTTTTTGGAGAACTTTTTCTTTTTAAAAGATTTCTGTGTATCAAAAGTATTTTCATTTTTTAACCTATTGAGAACTCCAGTATATGTCTTTTTGAAATTTTTCTAGTTGTTTCTTTCAATAATCTTAGCTTTTCTGAATTTTTTCTATTGTTATTGCTCAAGTTTTCTACCTAAAAAAATGCTACCCTGATCAAAAGAGAAAACAATTCACTAAGATGAAAAAGTTTAGAGCTTATCCTGATCGCTAGATTATCCACAGTAAATTTGCACCCAGTCTCTTACAACATTTCACCATTCCTGGCAGATTTTCTGTTAACACAGTTTGGGAAATCCAATAAAAAACATGATTGAAACAAAAGGAAAAGAATCTGAATTAAATTGGCTAGATTATAGACCCAAAACACACACACACACACACACACACATATGTATTCATAGTAATTCATTGAGTCTAGAAGAATCCACAGCAAAATGCAGAAAGCACTGGATGGCCATTTTGCATTCTGTTGAGGATTCTTCTAGACTTGATGAATTACTATGAATGATTATTCAAGTCCCCCCGAATTTATATCAAATTATATATATATATATATATATATATATATATATATATATATTGAGTGTAACAGAAAAATTGTCCAAATCGTGTAACGGCGTAATTGGCCATCCTACAAAATGTTTAATATCTAAAAAACCACTAAACTAAATAAGTTTCTTTTTTCCAAGTTTTTCAGATAAGATGTTTAACTATCTTAACACCATTTATTGTAAGAATCACTGAAAAATCCTTTGAGTTATTCTGCTAGAAAGAGGACAGGTTAAAATCATTTTGTGTCAACCCTACTATGTCTTCCCTAATGAGCAATGATAAGAGGAAAATAATCATTCACACCTTCAATAATGGTACTAACATTTATTCTCTGGCTTCAATCTTCAAAGTCCATTCAAAAACCATCAAGAGAACGGTGAATAAGTTTAAAAAAGAGGGAACAGTAGGGAGGAAAACTGGATCGGGAGGTTACAACAAGAAGAGAGCAAGTTATAGCTTAAAAGATCAATTAGAAAAGATTCAACTCAATCCGTAAGATATTTGGCATGTAAAAAAAAGAGTTTCAGCTATGATGTCACCTCTGATGGTAAGAAGATGCCATTGATCATGCTTGAGAAGGATGAAAGGCTGACAGGAGATTGCTATGTTCAAATTTTGAAAAAGGTGAAGACCTTGATTCTTTCTGAATATCCTAAGGCTAGAGACAATCGAAACCTCAACAAGATCAATAAGGCCAACAAAATTTACATTCCAGCAGAATGGAGCTCCTTGTCACATGAGCACAGGGACTCAAATATTTCTCAGGGATAAGTTCGTGAACAGGTTTTGGGATATGGAAACTTGACCTCCTTAAACTTCAGCATCTGGAATGAACTGACCAGAAAAGCTTGTGAGATGACCCACAGTAACTTGCAAGCCCTTAAAAAAATCCATCAATAAGACCTGGGTAAAAAACATTGATGAAGAATTAATTAAAAAGCTTGTGGTGCATTCAGGAAGAGGGTTGAGTATATCATTGACAAAGGTGGAGCAACTCTTGATGCTTAACTGTTTGCACTTGTGCCAGAATTATTCTTATCACTTAGAAATAATACCGTTATTTAAGCATTGAACTTTATTTCAATGCACCATGAGCTTCCATTCCTTAGCTATGATTAATTAATGAGGAACATGGTATTTTCATTTATGATCGATTTCATCATGATTCTTCTGTTAAGCTTGAAGAGTAATTATACATTCTTATTGTTCAAAGTACATACCAATAATAGTATTATAAAAAGAATTCCAATAAGATATCTTTAATCAGTTCTAAGATACAATGGTTCAAAGCTTAATCTAACAATTGGACAATTTTGCTGTTACACCTAACATATATATCACCTTTGGATGTTGACTTCAGTGTTCACTTTTATATTTTCATATGCTCTATCCCAGATATTGAGCACTTTAACTCATAAATATAGCATACCTTAAAACTATATTTTATCATTTTATATAATGATAATATAGTGCAGTCATATATAGTTTGTAGATGTGTAATAGGCATTTTCTACACATTTATGTAATAATAATAATAACTTTTGAACCTATTGAGAACTCATGTATGTCTTTTTTTTTAAACTTATCTAATGCTCTACATATGGTATCAAAGAAAAATAGACCCAACACCACCTCAGTGCTTGTAATTTAGAAGAACTTACATTGGCAAGACATCTTGAAATCTAAAAGTCCATAAACCCTTTAAACTCACTTGTACTACACAGGAATAAAACTGGACATAACTTTGATTTTTCAAATGCTGCCCTAATTAAAAAAGAACATAATTCTTTAAGTAGAAAATACTTTGAGGGAATCCTGATAAATATTTTACCAGTTATAAACAGATGTCAAAAACACTACCTTTATGAAAGCCATTCTTAAAGAATCTAATGTATGTCTGCCTACCACTACCACATAAAATTGTCCTCAAATCAATTTGTTGTCAACCACAAAACTAGAATTATGATACACTTACACATACAAATTATATACATGAATGCTGCTTGACAAGTCAAATGCACATTTTCTCCATATTTGATTTGCTGCTAAAGCTTTAATAAAAGTGAAGCATAAATGTTTCCTATTTATTCTTCATCCTATCATATATATATATATATATATATATATATATATATATATATATAATGGATTCATATATATAGTCTGTAGATGTGTACATGAAATAAGCTTTGGAATAAAAAAATTATCAAACCATAATACTTTTGGTACACATTTATATTATATAATATTATATTTTGAAATGCTTCTTGAATATTCCAGATATTCCTCTGACCTGTTTCACGCAGCTTTAAATATTGTAAATTGATGATGTATGTATAAAGGATAGATTTACTTTCACCTCTCCAATAACCCAGTGCTGTGTCACTGGGGCAGTACAGATGATTTTTCCATCTGTCTCTGTCCCTTGATGCTCTGTCATTCTCTGATGTCGGCCTCCCACTTCAAAAGAAGTGAAAACTGAAGTGGTCTGGGCAGATGACCAGATCAGATGGACTTGCAAAGACCAATCTGCAAAGCATCATACGTCAGAGCAGGAAGAGAGGTGGACAAAAGAGAGTAGACAGGAAGATTGATCGAAAACTTGTAAATATTGATTACGAATATATACGTATGGAATGATAGCAAAGTTTACTTGCACTGTTTTAAGACAGTTGAGGTTGAGAAAAAAATAGTAAAAATATTTTTACTTTTTTGTGAAGGGTAAAATTTCAAAGAATACAAGTTGATACTTGTTATACTATGACAAGAGGAGCAAAATTGGACATTGAGTAACCTACCCAACTCGTTTATGAAAATGTATGGCAGAAGAGGGTGTTGGGGATGTTAAGGAAACAAACATTATTTAGAACTACAAAGGATAGGAAGTTGTGGACAGCCATGATTGCCAAAGTCTTGAGAGGACACAGTGCATAAAAGAATATTCTTTATATGATTTTATTTATATATTCTGTTTATCTGATTGTTATTTTTTTATTTTTATTTTTTTGATCATTTCACTCCAAGTGAGGTGATAAAGCCACTAAGACACATAGGTTATTGGAAGCAGAGGGGAATGAGAAGATTAGGTGGAGACGTTAAAAGTATAGTGTTGAAGGAACTGGAAAAACAATCTGAAACAGAAAATAAGGGATAAACCTTTAGTGAGGAGTAAGGACAATAAAAGAAAAAGATTCAGGAAGAGAGAAGATTGTGATTGACATTGTATTTAAATTTTTCAAGATTTTAGGTGTTAGGGAAGGAAGAAATGAGAAGAGAGTTCCACAGGTGAGAAGTGCAAGAAAAGAAATTATTAAAATAGAACTTATAGTTACATTTAGCTAATTTAACAGTGAAGCCAATTTAGAAGTATACTTAAATTTACATGGTTGAGAAGGAGAGCTCATTAGAACAACAGCCATGAAAACATTTATAGAAAAGACCATATGTCATAGCAGTGGGAA